CAAATTTAAAAAATCTATGAAAAAGAAAATTTGAGACAAATTTTTTTTTTAGATTAATAGACTCCCTTTTTAAAACTGAATTGAATGGTGGTGGGTTTTTTAAAAATCCAATGTGTGGATCACATGATATTTCAAAATTTTAACTTTTGAGTATAGATGATCCGCACTGTAGGGATGATTGCATTATGGTTCAACTTTATATTTAGGGTGTCGTACCGAATTTACTTATTATTATTTTTATACGATAATAATAATAAAAATTCTATATATGATGATGTAAATACTGTATTTGTAAATTATTTTGTGGAATCATTTGAATAAAAATAACTATTAAACTTGTGAACACACTCATTTTTTACTTTTTGTGTGAGAGAGAATTCTACTGTTTTCGATATCAATCATTACAATTAAAACTATGTTAGAAAATAAAATAAATAATACAAACAATAAAAACATTAATAATAATAATAACAATAATAACAATAATAATAGTAGTAATAATAATAATAGTAGTAATAATAATTGTAGTAATAATAACAATAATAATACTAATAATTGTTTTTTCTATGGAACTTTAATGTTTACTCAAGTGATTGAAAGGGTATTAAATAAGAATAAGAATGATTGTTTAGTTGACTTAAATAGTGGAGTCACTGCTATTTTGAAGGTCGACCATTATTAATTGTAATTAAATAACATAATTTTAAACTTTGAATTTAAACTTTGAATTAAACTATTAATTTAAACTACCGGTTAAACTTTAATTGTGTAGGGATATAAAAGATTGAAGGTAAAGGATGCATCATATCCAGCAATAATAAAAACAGATAATGATATTGACACAGTTGAAGGTATACTAATGAGAGGCTTTAGTGATAAAGATTTCGATAAATTGGACAAGTTTGAAGATGAAGTAAGTAAATTACTATAGCATTCAGTTCAAGTCGATTCATAATTTAACAATAATAATTTAATTGGTATTATTTGATTAGGACTATGATAGAATAAATGTCGATGTTTATGTAGCAGGGGAAGGAAGAGATTCAAAAGAGCCAATCAAAGCACAAACTTATATTTGGATAGCTTCTAAAGATTTGTTAGAAGATAAAGATTGGAGTCCTGAATATTTCAAAGAATACATTAGAAGTTGGAATGAGAAAGATTTTGAAGAATTGTAATAAGGTAAATAAATGCCAAATGTAAATCTTGTCTATTAAAATCTTGGGATCATAATAATTTCAGGGTTCTGCTAATACTAACTAATAATACCAGTGGAATAGTGGAATGTATTTAATTATCTTTTACGAATTAATTTCAAAGCGACTGACCCATACATGTGTCATTTGATCATTTTCATTGGCTTGGAAGAAATTTGCTGCAAGAATAAAAATGGCGCCAGTACAATTTTGGATGTTTTCAAAAAGTGGGACTTTAATAACAAACGGAAGCTTTTAACATTAAAATAAAATCTTAAATTTCTAATTCCTTTTCAGGGTATGATGTAAATTAGAAAGTGATTCAGAGGCTTAAATTACATTTGATTTATTTTACTTTTTGACAGAGTTTTCACCTATGTTTGAGTTCTTTCTGAAAATAGCATCATTCACCTAATGATGATGGCAAATTGCAAATCATCAGTGCAAGGTTTCAAGTCATAGAAACTTTTAGTTTTTTAATCATGCTTGATAAGACAGACAGACAACATATATAAACTCTCGTTAACCCCCCCCAGCCAGATAATGATGACGATGGCTCTCGATAAGCCGTTCCACGTAATAATATTTACCATTTTTAATTATTCAATTATTAATGTTGAAGATTTTAGAAAAACAAAAATAAAATAAAAGTCGTGAAATAAATTTTTATTAACGGTGGATAATTCTTTCATTTTTATATATCACGCGGTTAATCTCGATAAGTCGGTCTTCTCAATAAATGACCGACTCATCGAGTTTTACCTAATCATTCCTTCAACTGTGGTTTTTTGTAAAATCACATTATTTGATAACTCGGGTCCTTTGACAAGTCGGATCGTCATGCCTAGCCACCCATGTTTGACCTATCAAGTTTACTATTAATATCATTATAAGTTCTAATTATAACAAACTACTATGCCGAACAATCCTGGGGCATATTAATATACTCACAATTATTTTAAGTTACAAGACATTTATTTGTAAATAGATGACATTTCGTAAGATTCTTGTTTACCCTTTTTTATTGTATACAATAACAATACTGTAATAGCAGCAATAATTATAATTTTCGTTTCTCAAAAATGGGATAAAAAGTGATAATATTACTCGTCAGCATTGTATACTATTTATTTGATAAATTAACATTCGCCGTTGGAGGTAGCAATAATTCATGTTAAAGCTTGCAGTACAAGGCCATCTGAAAGGGAAAATACATGGTTGCCTTAAATTATTTAACCAGGAAACAAGAAGGCGATTGCATAGAATGTCTAATCCATTTATTCATCAGAAACAAGTTTTAAGGAACTCTACAACTTGTAATTGTGTATAATTAGTAGAGGCAAACTTTTCCACTACCACTTGGATGACAAGACGATGAAACCTCGTCCTACACAGAAAGGCGACTCGGATTTAAAGCTATCGTGGACTTATTTTCTCCAACTCTGCTAAAATCTTCTTCACCTTCTTCACCTTCATTCATTATCTTGACTCTCCATACCCCTGAATTGCTTCTGTCGGGGGTTTTTCTTGGGATTGGTTTTTTGTTGGTGGAAGTCCTTGATAGCGGAGGTAACAATTTCTTTATTCTCTCTTTCAGGAAATTCACCAATTTCAATTATCCGAGTACTGCTCAACGCTTTTGTCAAATAGGTGTTTAAACATCTTCCCAGTATTTCTTTTCACCAACTGGCTTACTTGATATGTCAATTATTTTGTCAATTTTAGATGAATTCGATTAAGATTGTTTGCAATTTGATTTTACGTGGATGATAACAAAGATAATTTTTTCCTACATGTTATAAATAAAGATTTGGATTTTTATATTTGTTATTAAATAGTAAAAAGAATTTTAAAAATTTTTATTACTAATTATTTTTGGTGGTCATCGACGAAGGAACATTATTAGTGTTAGTGAGCTGTGTTGTTTATATATCTTTATTTAGAAATTATTACCAAATCTACTCACTAATTTGACTTTTGTAATTTCCTTGTGCATAATGCATAATCTTGATTTTTTTGCAGTACGCCCCAAATAATGTAAAGAGTATCGAGCGTTTGTTTATTTAAATAATAAATAAATAATAACAACAATATAGTGATAGTGATAATGATGATGATAATAATAATAGCAATAATAAAATAATAGTAATAGATAGATATTTATGAAGATTGATGATACTTTTAACCTTAATATTATCTGTTTATACATATAAAATATAAAACAAACATTACTGTAATCGTAAATTACATAAACATTTATCCGAATTTGTGTGTCTCATTCTCACATTGTCTAAATTTCTGTATTAATAATGAAATACTATGTGAAAGTCATAGGATAATTGTGAATCTACATTTGAATTGATATCAAAATGGTTGGTTTGTCGAATCATCAAAAAGATCCTTTTTATTCGTTTACAACACATAATTAATTAAACATAAATGTGTCACTATGAAGCTAAAACCTTAATTAAATCCATTTTAGGTTAAAAATATCCCTTGAAAATTTTTTAATAAAAAAAATTCATAAATAAAAATTTCTTTTTTTATTTTTTATTTGATTTTTCACTTTCCAAATAATAAATATTTCATTACCCCCTACCAAAAAAATACCTCTTTTACCTTCCTTCTTCCTCTTCAGTTATCCACAAAATGTTCGTCAAAGCTCTATATGATTATGATTCAACCGAAATTTCAGGTCTATCATTTAAAAGAAATGATATTATTCAAGTGATAAATCAACTTGATAGTGGTTGGTGGGATGGAATATGTAATGGAATACGCGGTTGGTTTCCATCTAATTATATTACAATGGTTAATGATAAAGAAGGACTTTATCATCTAAGTGTTAATCAGCAAATCAAAACTATTCTTGAGGAATCAGTTCTTGAAGAGGAATTGGTATGTATTAATTATTTGGTGTGGGAGAAGGTGGAACGGCGTGATATTATTACATATATTTATTTATATATAAATAAATCACATTTACATAATTTCACTAATACATAGCCATTTGGTTGGGAGAAAAGACAATCCCCGGATGGAAATGCTTTTTATTATAATAAACTATCTAATGTATTTTCATTTGATCATAATCCAATTGATGATGATGATTATTCAGATGATGATGATGACAATGACGATGATGATGATGATGATGATGGTGATGACAATGGTTCAGTTGGAACTACAAATTATGATACTCCAAATGAATCCTTTGAAAATAGTAATAATCCACAAGGTGCTAATAATAATAGATTATCTTCCTCCTCATCCAAATCATCATCCTCTAAATCCTCGTCATCATCACACTCTTCTTTTTCTTCTACTTTATTAAATAAACAAAAAACATCAACGAACGTTAAACACACAAAATCTCCCTCAATAACATCGACATCTTCTACATCAAGTAAAAAAAAGAAACCTCAATTATCAAATATTTGGGTTTTAAAACATTCTTCTTCAGACAATAATATAAATGGTAATAATGATAATAATGATAATGATAGAAATATTTATAGTACAATAGGCGAAGAAGATGAGAGCGTGCGGCCTTTTGAGAATGAAGAACAAGTAAGTGTGATACATGCATATCTCTATGCATGTGTATGCATGTTTGATGCGCATATTTATTTATTAAATGATATTTTTATTTTTCCACAAAATGTTAGAATTTGTCAGAGAATTTTGAAATTAAAGAAAAAGTCGGTGAAGAATTAAGATGGAACCATTCAAATTCTTCATCAACAACAAATTATACTCTAACAAGCAACATCAGAAAAACGACTTCGTTATCTTCTTTACATCACAACAAGCAACAATATGAACATTATGAGCAATGCGATCGTAATGATGACATTAATAACAATCAATCTTATTCTAACAGCATAGATCCTAATAACAACATTATCAACAATCAATTATTATTGCAAAATCCGGACAACGAGCATTTCACTTGGGACTCATTATTGAATAACGTCATCTACTCGATAAATCAATTAACAGCATCGGCAAATGACACCAACAAACACGAATTCACGCAAAACATTGACACCGTTAATCGAAGTATCAGAATCATGTTGTACGCGTCAGATACAATCAATCGTGACTCGATAATATTCAAAACTTTCCCCAGGCTATCCAAATTCCATAACGATGTTACCTCCTCGTTGTTCAAATTGATTTTGTTGGCTAAAATCGCGTCGAACGAATGGTCGCCGCCTGGTTCGACAGATAGGATGATTCAGGAATGTAAATCGTTGTTGGATGCAACTAAACAATTTGTAAATATTTCAAAAGATTTGATTGTAATTAAGCGTGTTGATCCTAAAATACCAAGTAGTAGTAATTATGGCAGCAATAATAATTATGCTTGGAATCACAATTCCGATTCCAATCTTAATACATCAGTTATAACTGATCATTTTCGATCCAAGAAAATTCTTTTATCATCAAGTCTAACAGTTTTGTTAGATCAATCCTCAAAATCCATTTCCAAATTAATCTTTCTGGTAAACACTCAACTCAAACAATCATCGTCATCTCTATCATCCTCATCATCCTCATTATCATCCTTGCAACAACAAACTCGAGTCCAAGTTGAATACAACTTTAACATTAATCATAGCATAATGCATGTTCATAAAATTGTTTCGCAAGTAGGTCAATTCTTAGCTTTGATCAAGAATATTAATATATCGAAATTAAACGAGACAAGCAACAATTCAATACAAGAATTTGAAATTGCAAGACAATCATTGTACAATAATGTTGCTTCTATTGCAATTTTGACTCAATTCGCCACCAAGATCAATGGCATCAATGACAATAATATCAACAAGACTATTGATCAGTTATTATTTGCAAATTTGGAATTAGACAAATCGGTCAAAAACCTTTGTTTGGCTGTAAAATTTTTGATCGAAGAAAAAGAAAATCAAGATGATTCCAGGAAATTATTACTTTTAAAAAAGAAGAACGTTGAGATTAATGAAAAAGAAAACGATGATAATATTAATAATCTTGCAAGATCTACAACAAAAGCAACACCTCCAGTCGCTACTACTACTCGGGCATCTTCTGCACCACCAATGCTTGCAACTTCGCTATCAACGCCATCATCGCCATCATCACTATCATCATCATCTACACTAATAAATGTTTCAAATTTATCATCATCCTCGTTGCCATCATCACCTATTGATTCACCGGCAATGAAATGCTTACAAACTGTACCAGAGAATGATATAATATCAATAAGTTATAATAATGATAACGATAATGGAGGTAGTAGGGTGGATAATAGGAAAGATGGTAATGAATCAACAAAAACTTCCAATCACCCAAAAGCTTTGGTTAAAATTAATACATCATTTGGTAATTCTAATAAAAAAATTGGCATTTCTTCGCCACCAATATCACCAATAACAACAATTGATTCTGCTCCTACTAATAATGCTCTAATTAATAATAATAACAATAATAATAATAACAACAACAACAACAATAATATGCAAAATTATGAGAAGCCATGGTTTTTATGCTATGATTACGATATATCAGAAATGTGTTTCAATGCGGACAATTTAGTAATTGGCGGCACGTTGAAAGCATTGGTCGAACGATTGACAATGCACGATTTGCTAGACTCGAATTTCATAGCAACATTCCTGTTAACATTCAGATCATTTTGTACAGCTGATGAATTATTTGATTTGTTGGTTGAAAGATTTATTATAAGTCTACCAGAAGATAGAGAGATTTCCAGGGAGGAGTTTGAAATTTGGACCGAAAAGAAACAGATGCCGATTAGGATTAGAGTTTTCAATATTTTGAAAAGTTGGTTGGAAAGTTATTATATTTACGAGCAGGATAAACATTGCTTAGAAAGAATGAAAGAGTTTGCTAGCACTACAATGAATCTTTATATGACTAATGCTGCTACTTCTTTACTAAAAGTTATTGAAAGAAGAGTACGTATAAAATATGAATTATATTGGTTGTGTGTATATTAAGCAAAAATACTCTTTTATTTTTTATAATGATGATGACATACTATTTTTGTTTTTGTTATAGCAACAACAACCACATGTAGCAACATTTAAAGAATTGATACAAACTTTTTCAGCACCACCCCCACCACCGATTCTACCCAGAAGTCTAAAACGAGTCAAATTTTTATATTTGGATCCTTTGGAAATTGCAAGGCAATTCACAATTATCCAGAGTAAATTATATAATAAAATTAGACCTGTCGAGTGTTTGGATAAAGCATGGAGTAAGGAAGAAGGTGGTGATTTAGCCGTAAATATTAAAGCCATGATACTTAACAGCAATCAAGTAAGTGATCGATTTGTTGGTTGGTTGATTCTAACCGTATCTCACCATCAAATAATTTGGTTTTTTTTAGACAATCATATGGGTTCAGAAAATGATATTGAGTCAATCGGAAGTTCGTAAACGATGTTCAATAATTAAACATTTTATATATATAGCTGATAAGTGCAAACAGTTGAATAATTTTAATACTTTGATGTCAATTGTATCCGGATTAAATTCTTCGCCGATATACAGATTGAGAAGAACATGGGAAACTGTGCCGGCAAGACATATACAAACTTTTGAAATGCTGAAAAAAATAATGAATGCATCTAAAAATTTTTCAGAGTATAGAGAAATGTTGCACAGAATTAATCCACCCTGTGTTCCTTTCCTTGGTAAGTGATAATTTAGCAAGGAAGAAAGAAAAATAAATAAACTAAAAATTACGTGATTTCTGATTCAGGCAGACAGACGCTAATTAATTAATTACTTACTTATTCAGGCGTGTATTTGACGGATTTGACGTTTATAGAGGATGGGAATCAAAACACATTGAAAAAACAGAAAAATCTAATTAATTTTTCCAAAAGAATGAAGACTGCAGAGGTCATTCGTGAGATACAACAATATCAAGTGCCTTATAATTTGAGTCCGGTGCATGAAATTCAATTGTTCTTAACAAGTCATATTGAAGATAGCAATGATTCTAGTGATTTTTACGACAAAAGTTTAGCAATTGAGCCAAAGTAAATATATTTTGTTGTTGTTGTTGCTTGCTTGCTTGCAAAATCGCACGCAATATTTTAATCATTTAATCATGAATGGATGATTAATATTGACTTTATTTTTCTTTTTGGTTTGTTCAGGGAACGAGAAGATGAAAAGATTGCTAGATTACTCCAAGAATCTGGATTCTTATAAATATTCCCATAGTTTTTTTTTTATATTTAATTATAGAATATATATATATATATATATATATACCATACATATATATATCATACATATGTATATATATGGTACATGTTGTGTTTTTTTTTTTGTATTTTTATATTTATTTGTAAAAAAAAAAAAAATTCTATATTTACTGTTTGTTTGTTTATTTTTCACCAAAAAAAATATTCGAAACAAAAAAAAAAGTCACGATATGCGTGTTAAATTAATTATAAATTTATTATTCATATATATCAAGTAAGAACATAAAGAATTTAATATTATTTCTTGGTGCAAATACGAAACCAACGGTTTATTATATAATCATCTCATTGACGCACCAATTAAAGTGGGATTGGATTTTGGATTAACCGCGTTAATAACATTAATGCAATATTGAATTCAGCTGATCAAATCAATCAATCCATCAATCCATCAAAAGAAAAAGGGTCTACATTTTGTGGCAAGATTTTCAAATTTGATTATTAAAAATCTTAAATATAATCTTTTTCTCAAAGCAGAATAAGTGGTGTGTTTTTGAATGTTGATTTATGCATAATAATAAATAATTTAAAAAACATTATCATCATTATAATTACTGAAAAGAACGGCTTTTAACCATATTTGGCAGTTGTAAAGGAAGTTGTTAACTGTGAATCCCGAACAGTTTCCTAAAACAAACATGAATTAAATTATGTGTATGAGTACGATGTACATGTATGCTGTTGATATAATATAAATAAATAAAACTCTTAAAAGACAAAGTAAAATGGAAATTTTGATGCAGATCTGTTAACAAAGTAATCACCAAAACTAAAAAGAGAATAATAACAATTATTGTTAGCGAAAACCACAAAAAAAAAATTTACATGTAATTTAAAAATGCATTTTGGAAATAAAATTTTTTAATTGATTAAAAAACGAAACGAAAACAAGGCAGACAAACAAAACAAACAAATAGTAATTTAATTTTAAATAAACAAAATGCATGGAGATAAAAAGATTGTGTATGATTCAAACAAAGATAAGTATGAATAATAAATAAAAAAGCAATTCAATCAATGCCAGTCAACTTTTAAAAGTTGAAAATAATGGCAGGGCAGACGTTATAGTGTGTGTTGGTGGTGTGTGTGTTGGTGGTGTGTGTGTTGGTGGTGTGTGTTGTGGCGTGTGTGTGTGTTAGTGTGTGTGTTAGTGTGTGTGTGAATTTGAAAATCATAATCACACCAAATTAATCAAAAAATTTATAATTAGATTAAATAACACATTGGGATACCCAAACAGTGTTTGGAGTTGTTACACTTTCTATATTTAAAAAAAGATTAGGATGAGAGTAAAAAAAGCATAGTTGAACAGCCTTGTTTTTTCTAATTTTGGTTAGATGAAACAACAACAACAATATTAATGATAAGCAACAAGAATTAAAACGAATTGCGAATGTATTATCGATGCGTTTTGGCAGTGGTAACTATTGTAATTATCATAATTATCGTTATTATAGCGGTGACGACGATGACAGGAACGATTTTCGCAAGAGAAAGTCTACGGAAAATGAGTTCCTGATGATAATTTATTGTTACATATAAGTTAATGTCTATTATTATTATTTACTATTACACAATTTAAAGTTGGGTCTATAAAAAAAAATTTTTTTTGAAAATCGGAGATTTTTCACCGATAATTAAAAACAAATTCGCGTCCTCTTTGATGTTCTACCAATTTTGGAAATAATGGACATTTGTAAAATATTTGGGGACACTAAATTTACTTTACACTTGATTGTTCTAATTATTTATGTCGAAAATTCGAAAATGTAAAAAGTCTTATAAATACAATTTGAATTTTTCATCTTGGTTGTTTTTGTTTTTTTTTTTAATATTAAACAAACTTCTTTAATCGTTCAATTCATTTAACAATAAAAAAATCATTTTAACCAAATCCCATTTTAACCATAATAAATAATTTTAGTATCTTGATTTCTTCCAGTTAAAGAAAGACACTTATTTATAAAATTATTAATTTAGTGGTTCCATTATTAAAAAAAAAAATTTTTTTTTAAATAAACAACAACAAAAAAAAAAAAAACCAAAATGGACGACTATATTCTTAATAATATTGAAAAATATCCATTTATTTTTGAAAATGTCATAGACAATAATTGTATTATTTTAACTAATGCTGTAAATTATAATAATATTAACAATATTAACAACAACAATGACATCAATTATAATAATAATTGTCATGGCGGTACCATTATCGAAAATAGCTTAATCATTTCCAAGAACAATTTAAACACTGCATTGGCTCGTAAGCCCGTGATTCACGAATTTCCAAATATTAATCTACCTTTTCCTCCTGTTATTAAAGCAAAGGATTTTATTGATCCCGAAACCAATTCAGCCAACACTTCCTCCACCAACCACGAGGCTGCCACTGTCAACACCAACACCACTGCTATTTATAAAAACAGCAAAAAGAAAATCAATAAATTAACTACAAAAGCTCCCAACAAATTTTTTATTTACCGTAAAGCTTGGGTTATGGAATTAAGAGAAAGGGGGTTTCAATACCCAATGACTGAAATTTCTGGCTTCATAGCAAAGAAATGGCAAGAGGAGACTCCAGAACGTAAAAACGCCTACGTTAAAATTGCTATGGAAGCAAAAACCCTACATAAACAAAAATTCGGTGATAAAATCAAATATAATAATAACAATGATTTCACCTCGGCTTCATCTCAACCTAAAAAGACTATCAAAAAAAAATCAAAAGTTAACAATATCAGCAATAATAAGAAATTAAAAAAATCTTCTTCCCAACTTTATATTCATAATAATAATAATAACAATAACAATAACAATAACCATAACAAATTTCTTTTTTATTATTATTAATTTTTCTATAACGAATATCTTTATTACTATAGTGAACAAAGGTACAAAATACTTGCTTATGTGACAAGAAATTCCATTATAGAGAGCGAACTGTGTCTTTATATTGAAAAAAATATAAATTTAGAATTTAATGTTTAAAATCAACTTTTAAAACCTCAAATCAACTCCAATTTAACTCTGTGCCATGCATATAAATTTACCACTGTGTTTCGAAATGTTTTATGGTGATAATCCGGTTTATTTTTTGTCAAACCGGATTTAGATTTTTGGAACATAATAATAACAATCTTTGTTTTATTATTATGCAAATAATAAAGTTTATAAAAAAACAAAACTTCAGTAATGAAGATGAACTGCTCTGATACGTACATCAACCCTTGCATTTAAATTCATTTAAAAATCAAATCACGAATACCATTTTGGCACTAGATGCATCAATCTTTGAATTCGGATGCAATTTTTTGGTCCACAACTTGCAGATAGCAGATCTATCTATTTACATGTTTTTGTAATAATTTATTAGACTATTCAATAAATGTACCATTTGGCCACAAAATGGTCTATTTTATCATTGCACAAAAGGATGTTAGGGTGCTTCGCATCCTATTCAAAATTAATTTCTTTATGCATAATAATTCTTATTTTTGTTATTTCGTTCATTTTTAACTTCAAGTATTTTTAATTAAAATAAAGTAATACATTCAATTCATTATAATTAGTTTTTATATATTATTTATTACTTTGTTGCTTGACGAACTTCAAAAACAACGTGATCATACAATTTTTATTGCTTCTCAAAATTGACTCTATAGCGCAGAAAGTTGATAGGGACCAAGTGTCTTGCACTATATTAAATACTATTAGTATTATTATTATTGGACATTTTGGAATTTATTTTCTTACCAGATTCAAATCGGATTCAAATCTCTTTTTTGATGTCAAAGAACCGGATACCCGTTTTCAACCCGATTTACGAATTCAACCCGTATCCAAATTCTAGTATTCATGAATTATATTTGAAGATGATAAGAAATTTTCATCTTTGTTGTTTTAGAGCTTTGAATTGTCATTTGGCAAAGAATTACAACAGTTGACCAATTATTATTGATCGAAATTGTATCATAAAAGTGGTGAATAAATAAATATTAAGCCGATAACAAAACTTCACCAAAACCACAAAACCTCAAACTTGGAAATGCAATATTAATATATTTTTGACGCGACACGAGATCAAATTTAGAAATAATCATCATAATCTACGTTTTGAAAAAAATATATCCATCACATACATCACATACGATAAAGCTGGTTGACATTGGACAATGTCTACCATGTCCAATACCTATGCAATAAATGGACAATTACCTCAAGAAGATATCTGGAAGATTTTTTGTACAGTTGGGCAATGACTCAAATTGCAGAAACGTAAGTATGCTGTGTATTAACACTTGAGTAGATCACTACAATCTTAAAATTGAGAGTAATATTTAGCTACTGTTTCCCATTCCTAATACATATATGTCCATATAGAAATTCATCTACTTTTGTCATTTTCCCATATCTTGCAAAATGCAATCCGAGAAATGCTCAAAAAATAAGACAGGCATTCGGTTACAACTTGCAGAAACAACACTAACACCCAAGATTACGCTCCTCCAAAAATTTAAATACGTAAATCTAAAAGAATAAAATATATAAATATTTTTTAGACATATTTCTTTATTATTGTTATAAAAAACAATTTAAAATTCCTTTATTTTCTTATAATATTCTTTACCAGGATGAACGATCTATCCAATACAATCCTTCACTTTAAGTCGTAGTTATAAATTGCAATTCTATTTATTTCCATTGTGTTTTACATTACCTCAAGATTGGTAGCGACCCAAAGACAATTTCACTTTGCATTTTTCAATCTTATAATCACAGATCATATTAATATAAAAAACATCCCCCATATAATAATCCATGTAGATAATCAATCCATTCTAGAGTCCAGATGTCATTTAATTTGATTTCATTAAAATTGACGAGTAAAGGCATAAGCCAAACCATTATTTGATAAACTTTTCCTCTATATATTAATACTACTGTTATCAGGAAATTTTTTCTGACATAATTATTACACTATTTACGTAAGTTTACGGCGGGTCCTGTAATATTATGCAAAAATCATACAAAAATTATGCAATTATTACATCGAGTGTAAATATTACATAATTTTTTATGCAAATATTACAACTTTACATA